AAATGGTGATTAAGCTGGTTGATACCATCTGGATGTCATAAATGAATTATCCCACAACGTAGCAAAATTGTGTCTATGTGTGACTCCTTGAAGGTAATTCCAAAAGAAGAGATCTATAAGTGTTTGATCAATACGTGTGTTTTAGTAAGAATTCTATGACTCCATGGTACAGAGAGGATGATTATTTTGAAGGTCACTTTTCATTTGGATTTTTAAGTTCTGGTACACTCATTGAGAATGTCCGTTTCTTTGCTGACTTGGTAAAGAAAATGGATTACAACTAACAGAGTACCATACGAAACAGAAGTTATTTTCTCTCAGTCTACAGGACTGGGCTGGTGAGGTGGCTCCACGGAGTCCTTAGGAACTCACATCCTTCCAGCTCATTGCACTACCATCCCTGGGACATGGCCGCCCTCATCCTCATGTTGCAAGACACGTTCTGACCATCACATCCATGTTCAGGGAGCAACATGGAGTAAGGGAATAAAAATGGACACACGGTGCTAGAAGTCTAGCAATCCCTGGAGGGAGGCTTCTAGAAGCTGTCCTGTGATGGCTCCACTCATATCACGTTGGCCAGAACCTTATCACATGGTTCTCTGAAAAGGAGGCAAGGAAATGTAGTTTTTAACTCAGGCGGCCATGTGTCCTGCTAAAAGCAAGGATCCTATTACAATGGAAGCATACAAGGGGCTGACCTTAGGGTTGACAGCTAGTAACCTATGCCACAATTCCCTCTTTTTATTTTTTTGAGATGGAGTCTCACTCTGTCACTCTGTCACCCAGGTTGGAGTGCAGTGGCTCGATCTCGGCTCACTGCAACCTCCGCCTCCCAGGTTCAAGCAATTCACCTACCTCAGCCTCCCAACTAGCTGGGATTACAGGTATGCACCACCATGCCTGACTAATTTTATTTTGTATTTTTAGTAGAGACAGGGTTTCACCATGTTGGCCAGGCTGGTCTTGAACTCCTGATCTTAGGTGATCCACCAACCTTGGTGTCCCAAAGTGCTGGGATTACAGGCGTGAACCATCGCGCCCCACAATTCCCTGTACTCATATCCGACATTTGGGTGAACTTGAAGGATACAATGATATTACTTGCCACAAAATCCTCTTAACAGATAATAATTTTAGTTCTATTTATAAATTGTTTCATAAACACAGAACAAGAAATGGTGCCATTAGCATTTATGTAGATATTTTATTTAATTCTCCTAACATTTAATTTATGCTTATGTAATTCTATATAAGTAGTACCTATTTAATAGGTACTACTATCCTCAGTTTACAAATGAGCAGATTTAGAGGTTAGCCAGGGAACACCCACCTCCAGAGCCTGGGTTCTTAACCACATTATTATTCCCTAATAAGGAAAACATCTTTTTTTTTTTTTAAGACCAAGTCTTACTCTGTCACCCATGCTGGAGTGCAGTGGCACAATCTTGGCTCATTGCAGCCTCCACCTCCTGGGTTCAAGCAATTCTCCTCCCTCAGCCTCCCGAATAGCTGGGACCACAGGCACGCACCACCAAGCCCGGCTAATTTTTGTATTTTTTTTTTTTTTAGTAGAGTTGGGGTTTCACCACGTAGACCAGGCTGGTCTCGAACTCCTGACCGCAAGTGATCCTCTTGTCCTGACCTCCCAAAGTGTTGGGATTACAGACTGAGGCACCACGCCCAGCCACATCTTGATTTTCTACTGGAACTCTGGAACCCAAACGTTAGTAGAATGAAGAACGGAGGAATGCTAGAACTGTTTATTTACCAAAACAGAAGCGCCTACTATAAGAAGGAGCCCTTCGATTGGATTAATTTGTTAACTCGATGAGAATCCTCCCAAGATGAAGTGCAGCCTGGCCATGCCACCCAGAACCTTCCCTGTCACTCCACTGCCGATGACTAACTCCCCTCATTCCAGCAGTGTGGACCCAGAGGGGAAGGGAAGAAAGGAAGGAGGGAAGAGAGGAGAGAGGGAAGGAAAGGAGAAAGAACAGGCAGGGAGGAGAAGGGAGGATAGGAGAGAGGAGAGGAGGTAAGTTTCTATGGCTGGACCAGTTTCATTGTCAACCCAGCCTGGGGTTCCCTGTTGGGAAAACCAGCTTAGGGATGTCTAAATATTCCTGACACTAGAGAGTCACACAGCTCTTGCTTTTGGAATGAAATGTTCTCTCCAAGCACTCGGGTGAACCTTCAGTAGGAAGAGGAAAAAGAATCGTATTCTCTTGCCTGTTTTTTTCAACAGAACATGATGAAAGAGATTTTGGTACCGAAAATGACTAGTGGCGGAGGATTGCCTTTTGGTCTGACAAAACTGAAACTCCACTTATCTGAAGACACTGTGTTCTGTGAAACCTGTCATCTTATTTCTTGCTCAATATCTGGGGATGACGACAAGGACTCAGACAAGTGTCAGTCTGGGAGAAGGGGGCTCTCAGGTGCTGAGTTTGAAGCTATTCCTTTAGATCCCTGGTAGAACTTACCTAGGTGCTATAAGACCTCAAACCCTGCACTATTTTTAGGAAGGAAAAAGAACATTAGTGTCTGCAGAAACCTAAAATATCTCTACAGAATAAAACTTCCAACCACATTTTCTGACAGCATATGTACTCTTACACTGTAAGGGTTGTAAAATAGATTGTGACTCTTGGGGAGTGTAGGACAATGTACAGGGAGTGGGCAAGGAAGGCTAAGAGAGTCAAAAGCTTCTTTCAAAAGTCCTTAAGCTGGCCAGGCGCAGTGGCTCACACCTGTAATCCCAGCACTTTGGGAGGCTGAGGCGGGTGGATCACGAGGTCAGGAGATCGAGACCACCCTGGCCAACATGGTAAAATCCCATCTCTACTAAAAATACAAAAGTTAGCTGGGCGTGGTGGTGGGTGTCTGTAATCGTACTCAGGAGGCTGAGGTAGGAGAATCACTTGAACCCAGGAGGCGGAGGTTGCAGTGAGCCGAGATGGTGCCACTGCACTCCAGCCTGGTGACAGAGCAAGACTCTGTCTCAATAAAATAAAATAAAATAAAAATTCCTTTTAAATTTAGGACACACAGTCCAATCTCATTTCCCTTTCCCCAGGAATCCAGAGGTGCCCTTAAAAAGTTCACTGTTCTAGGGGACGGCATCAGCTCCTCAGCTCAGAGACAGAGAGAAGCGACGTGAGAGCCAGCCTGGCGGTCTTTGCTGTCCCTGCCCCCACGGAGTGAAAATGCCAAGTTGCTGAAGATTACAAGGCAATAGATGCTCATGATTCTTTTGCAAGTACCCGTGCCTTTTCATTATACCCTGTTTTGAGGGGGATTTTTTTTTTTTTCCCCGAGACAGTGTCTCGCTCTGTGGCCCAGGCTGGAGCACAGTGGCGTGATCATAGCTCACTTCAGCCTTGAACTCCTGGCCTCAAGTGATCCTCCAGTCCCAGCCTCATGAAGGGGTAGGACTATAGGCATACACCACCATGCCCAGGTAATTAAAAAAATTTTTTTTCTAGACATGGGGTCTTGCTATGTTGCCCAGGCTGGTCTCAAACTCCTGGACTCAAGTGATCCACCTCCCACCTTGGCGTCCCAAAGTGCTGGGATTATAGGCATGGGCCACTGTGCCCAGCCCATTATACCCTGTTTTTAATGTTAAATTTTAGGGTCCGAGGTCACCTCTTATGAATCCTCAGTTTTTCCTTCTATCTCTCAGGGGTTGTGGATGGCAGAGATGACACCCTTTGCTCAAGTACCAATCTTCACCCCAGAGCCTCCACCTCCGCCTCTGTGTACATTACTCTCACTCTATTCGTTCTTTCAGTGGTTTGTGCATTCTCTTACTCATTTACCGACAGCGTTAGTGCTGGAAGCACTGCAGAAGTTCAGAGGAGGAGGAGGGTGGGGGGAGTTAGCAGTTTCTCATGTGCTGGTTTAGCCCCCTCTGAATTCTGAACAGTCCCTCACAAAAGGTGCTCAGTGAATTCTCGTTAGCTTATCATCCGCAAGTAGCCCTTTTTGGTGACACACGTAGGTGTCTAGAATATCCCATCTTGTGGCATTTGGCATTATGCAGTTGGTCTGGGATGAGACACTCGCAGACCCGAATTACGGGCCGGCCTGCCCACAGCCACAGACAACCACCAAGAAAAACTGTGGTGCTGGAAAGTAGTTCCATAGCAACTGGCCTAACGTTCCCAAACTGGAGTCTGGAGAAGGGGAAAGGCCCCTCCTGGTCTGCCAGGTTCTTCTACCCAGGGCCCCAGGCAGGCTAACTGTGTTTCCTGGTTTCCTTTTCCCCCTTCAGCCTCAGGCCACAAATCCAGCCATCGTGCTGGTGGCAAAAGTGCTTTCTCCTTCCTGCCACAGCCCCTGAGATGAGACTTTCTGCCTGAGAGAGGGACTCGCTAGTTCCACCTCGCCAACCCAGGCATGAGCAGACCCAGGCTAACTCCTGTAGAGCGGAAAGGGCCTCTCCACCAGCGCGCTGCAGCCCAGCGCGCATCCTTCTTAAGAGTATCAACTCTTGGGGTCTCAGAAGCTGTTCCACCAACAGCCCCTGGTAGGCGCTAGATCCCTCCCGGGGGCCCAGGAGTCCTTCCTAATACTCGGAGCTGCCCACAGCCCTCTCCTCTCCCTCCCATCCTTCAGAACTGTCCCTCTGAGCACCACTACGAGCTGGGCAAGCAGATGCGTGGGGTTGGGCGGGGGGCGGAGTGGGGGAAGGAAGCACACAATTCCGTTCAATGTTTCCTCTTAACAGACAATCACCCTAAACAGACTCCGTGGCCAGCTGCCCTGAGGAAAAAAAAACAAAAACAAAACAAAAAAAACGCTTCTTGGCTTCTCTGTTCTTTCCCAAAGTGATTGTTAATGGGAGATCTTCCCCATGGTAACAGCTGAGAGGCTGGAGGACAACTGAAACTCAGGGCCCTCATTCCGCAATACCCCGGGACTCCTTACTGCCCCCCAGTGTTGCTTTATGTCAACACCAACCCAGCGCTGAGATGCATCTCCTCCTCCCGCAGATTCCATCGTGATCGCCTTCTGGGTGAGCCTGGCTGCCTTCGTGCTGCTCCTCTTCCTCATCCTGCTTTACATGTCCTGGTCGGGCTCCCCGCAGATGAAGTGAGTAACAAGGGGTGTGGGTCTCTGGGTCACTCAGACGCTCTCCAGTGAGTAATGGTGCAGGTCGAGTATCCCTCATCCAAAATCCTGGAGACCAGAGGTGTTTCAGATTTGGGATTTTAAAATATTTGCATTGTACCTACCAGC